AGGGGCTGGGGYTGGGGCTCAGTGGTAGAGCGCTTGCCTACCATGTGTGAGGCACTGAGTTCGATCCTCAGCACCACATAAAAAATAAAGATATTGTGTCCACCTATAGCTAAAAATAAATTTTAAAAAATGAATAATGAAAATACTGAGTTTTCTAACCTGTCAATAACCATATAATCTTATGCTCATTTAATTCTTTAATTTCTCTCAGCAGTGTTTTGTAGTCTTCAGTGTACAGGTCTTACCTGTGTTATGTCAGTTTTCTCTCTACTTCACATTTCTGTGCTACTGTAATCAGCTTTATTTTCTCCATTTTTGATTGCTTATTGCTGACAACTAGAAACAATTCATTTTTGTTATTGATCTTGTAGTTTGCAAACTTATTGAACTCATTATCAGTACCAGTAGCTTTTTTTGGCGATTCCATCACATGTTTTACATACATGATCATATCATTGTGAACAGTTTCATTTCTCCTTTCCCAATCTGGATGCCTTTGATTTCTTTTTTTGTCTTATTGCATGAGCTAGAACCGCCATCAGAATGTTGAGGAGGTGAAGAGAGCAGACATCGTGCCTTGCTCCAACCTCCAGTGAAAGTACTTAGTATTTCACCAGCAAACACACACACACTGCTGAGTGTAGAATTTGTGTAGATATTCATTATCAGGTTGAGGACATTCCATTCTATTTCTAGCTTTTTGAGAGTTAATCAAACATGAATATGGGTTTTGTATCACAATCATCATCAGGAAAATGCAAATGAAATGCTGGTGAGATACCACTACACATATATCAGAATGGCTAAAATTTTTAAAAATTGAAGTACTGGTAAGGATGCAGACTAACCAAAGCTCTCATTCACTACTGGTGGCAGTGTGGCCTAGCCACTTTAGAAACGGTTTGGCAGTTTCTTAAAAAAAATTAAAAATGTACCTACCCAAGAGAAATGAAAGTACGTGTACATAGGAAGAATTGTACATGAATGTTCATAGTTGCTTTGTCTTCTCCAAACATTGGGAACAATCCAGATGTCCATCAACAGGCGAACAGGTAAACAATTACGGYATAGGCATGCCACATACCAGCAACAAAAAGGAATTAATTCTTTMTTTATTTTTCTTTTTATAACACTAGAGTGTATTTTGACATGTCATACACACATTCTTGTGGTTGTACCTGATATGGGGTTTCACTCATCGTGTATTCATATATGAACATAGGAAAGTGATGTCCCATTCATTCTACTGGGAATGAATTCTCTTTTGTGTGTGTGTGTGTGTGTGTGTGTGTGTGTGTGTGTGTGTTATTTGTGAGAATGAATTCTTGATACCTGCAATAATGTGGACGAATCTCAAAATAATTATATGATAGAAGAAGCAGACAAAACAGAACTGACACTCTATGATGTCTTACACAAAATTCTTGAAATGCAAACTACTCTATGGAGATGGAAAGGAGATCAATGGTTGATTGCTTGTGAATGAGGGAGGAGAGGCAGGGAGAGGTGAGAGGAGGGACCAGAYGGAATACCAGGAGATCTGGAGGGTGATGGACATGTCATTGTCATAAGTTTCACAGATGTATACGTATGTTGAAAGTTACCCAATTGTACATTTTWAATAAGTGCAGTTATTATGCTAATTATATCTCAATAAAGCTATTTAGAAGTGGAATAATAAAAAATCTTAAAAGAATATTAGTGTTATAAAGGATTAAAAGAATATATACATAATATTTAAAAATAACTATTCTCTGAGATTTTAACCACGAAGCTAGCAAAGAATAGTAGTAGGGTGAGGAGAATGTCTTAAAATASAAGCAGCCAGCCGGTCTGGTGGCACACAACTATAATCCCAGCAGTTTGGGAGGCTGAGGCAGGTGGATTGCAAGTTCAAAGCCAGCCTCAGCAACTTAGGAAGGCACTAAGCAATTCAGTGAGACCCTATCTCTAAATAAAATATAAAAAGGGCCGGGGATGTGGTTCAGTGATAAAGCAACCCTGGTTCAATCCCTGGTACCAAAAAAATAAATAAAAATCACACACACACACACACACACACACACACACACACACACAGACAAGCAGCTAAATCCCCCGTGATAACATGGGGGACTAAAGTCATATTTAGAGAAGTGGCAGCTAACAACACAGTGCGGAAGAACTGCGAGTCCAGCAGAGGCAGCTCTGATCAGCCACTGGGCCACCCTTTAAAGGCATCAGTGCCAGTCCATCCAGGTGGGGCTGGACYCTGACTCCCACATCTCAAGCCTGTCACTCCTCAGAAAGCAGGCCCCCCTCCCAGGGTTCTCTGCTCCTCCACAGGAGACCCCCAGCCCCCAACCCTGGCCATGCCACCCCGCCTCCTGTTCTTCTCACTTAACTCTCAGTGAGCCCTYACCCTGGTACCACATTTGGCGGGTTCACGTCCATCTAGAGCTTTACCTCATGGCCCGAGAAGGCAGGGGTTGACCGCCTTCAGAAGCAAGGAGGTACCAGCACATTCCCTCACACAGAGGGACGTCCCCCAGGGGAGGGCAGTAACCACAGCCTTGGGCACAGGCCTGTGTTCCTCATCTCTGGGGACTGCTGTGGCCCCTCGGTGCCAGGTTCTGTTGGACCCACCTGTGTCTTCTTCCTGGTCTTCTCACTGGAAGGCAGATTCCCCAGTGGCAGGGACCATGTCTCTCTTGCAGCTGTGTCCCTCAGCTCCTAGGGCCACTGTGGCCCATGCCAGGAGCCCAGGAAATGGATGCAATGGCATGCATGGTGAGACACGCAGGGACCCAGGAGGTGATCACACCTGGCAGCACGTGGTTCCTCACCCACAACCAGGAGGTTCCAACTCTGCCGCTGGATGGGTACCTCTGCCCCCTTCTCGAGTGGAGCCAGTTTGACTGGCTCAAACTGGTGGGCTGAGTCAGAACATGGTGGGCTGAGTCAGAACGAGGCTGGACACCATCGCCAATCTGTCTGCTTTCCAARAACCCTGGCTCTCCCCGGGCCTGTCTCGTGTTGCTTGGAACCTTGTGGAATTTCTCCTTGTTTGTTCTCCCTACCCGTCTTTTTTCTCCTTCTTTTTTAATCCTCTTTTGCAATGCTGGGCATTGAACCTAGGACCCCAGGCTGCTGGACTCTACCACTGAGCACATCACCGGCTCCTTCCCCTCTTCAAACTACCATGGGGCCAGGCATGGCTGCGCACACCTAAAATCCCAGCAGCTCAGGAGGCTGAGCCAGGAGGATCATGAATTCAAATCCAGTCTCTGCAACTTAGTGAGGCCCTAAGCCACTCAGTGAGACCTTGTTTCTAAATAAAATATAAACATGGGCTGGGGTGAGGCTCAGTGGTTGAGCACCCCTGGGTTCAACCCCCAGTACCAAAAAAGAAACCTATCCTAGCTCCCCCTTCCTCTCCCTGGCCAGACACCCGTGTCCTTCCCTGCTGGGTCGGCTCTGCCTCCTGTCCTTGTCAGGCTCCTCTCTCCYAACTGTGTCAATCCCTCTAGGCCCCCAACACCATCCAAGATGCCACCTTCAGGCCAACCCTGTACCCACCGTCCTTCCCTCCCACAAGCACCTCCCTCTTTCTAAACCCCAAAGCCTTTTCTGCCTTCCTTATGCCCTGCACAACCTTCTGCCAAGCCCGAGAGTGACACAGGACACCTTTCTGCCCAACCTCCAGGGCAGTCGAGGGCAAGGCCACAATGCCTCATCTGACTGCAGCCCTGCCACAGCTCCCCGCACCTCACCCATACACCCTTGTTAAGGGAACTGTTCTTCWATCAATCAATCAACAATAAATAGAAACAACCTACAGAAAGTAGGAGCTTTGACGATCACCTCGGGTTCTGTGTGGCTCTATGCTGAGATTCACTCAGTGTCTTTTTGGGGAGACCCCTGAGGGGTCCCATTTCAGGTCACTGTTGGACTAGTGGCCCTGGGGCCCCTGGGAACCCTGAGTCTCCAGCTCAGGGCTCTTCCAGAGTTGCAGGCAGACCCCTGCCCCACCTTTCCTCTGGGACACTTGTCCCGGTGTGGGATCCAAAGACCTGACCTCCATTGGACTTGGACCCGGTGACTTTGGGTCACTTCCATGACTGGGCTCGTTCACCAGCGTCTGCTCTGGCTCAGAGGAAGATTCCCTAGCAGCAGGGACAGTGCGCCCAGCACAGAGGGCCAGGGCTCACCTGGGCGTGTGGGGCCTGGAGTGCCACTGGGTCCCAGCCACCTCCCCTCAGGCTCTCTCTGGCATGGAGTTCAGCATTCTGGCACCTTGGGGTACACGTCTGTCCCTCCCCTAGCTGAGAGCGCTTTGGGGAACAGCCCAGGTCCTGCCCCTCGTAGTGCGCTCAGGGTCGGGGGCCCAGCAACGTGGTGGTGATGGGGAAGGGTGTGCCGGGTTGTGCTGGGTCACACTGAACATCAACCGCTTCTGTGGCCCCCTTTCTGTGAGCACTGGCAGAACCTGGGGAGGAGAACAAGCCAGGGCTACAGAGCTGGGGCACTTCAACTTGGCCAGGGAGGGCAAGTGGCTGAGGGGCTTAGTGCCATGTTCACAGCGACGTGGCGGATGGGGCTGGGCCAGGCATCGGGGCTGCATCTCACTCTGAGCCCTGACACCTGACCCTCTGACCCTGGCCAACTGTTTGACCGCTCTGAGTTCTTGGCATATGCTCAATGCACAGGAAAACACTGTCCCTGCCCATCCCACAGGGTGCTATGATGAAATCTGGAGATTGTGAAAAGCCACATAAACATGAGGACACTCTCTGGAGACACTCTGTATGGGACACTAAGTCTTTCTTGGAACTCTCCCCGAGCGTAAGACCTTCAGATCCCAACCCCACCTGCAACACAACAGGCCTCTCACCTKCGGGGTGCAGGCACAGGATGCCAACCAGCAGGTGCACGGTGATGCAGGACCCACATCCACCATGACACCCAGGGCCCTCMGAGCCCCACGCGGTCCAGGTTGGCACTGGGGACAGGAGAGAGATCGGCTCTGCGTGTGTGTCCCCAGGAGGTTTATTAGTAAGCACACCAGGGAGCTCTGGGTCCTTGCCCAGAACAAGGGGCTGAGAACATCCAGACAGGGAGGGCCACCAGAGCCAACAGGCCTGGCTCCCGTGGCAATGGCCATGTTCCTGCTTCAAGCACRCAGAATCCTCCCTCCTGTGCCCTCCAAGTGTCCTCCTGAGGAGGCAGGGAAGTTGGGCGCCTTCCCCACAGAGAGCCAGCTCCCTCAAGGTTCTCTGATTTGCCTGACAACCATCCGCCCTWGCCCCAAGAAATCTGGACAGGCCCTGTCTGCTCCCCCACCTTGGTCAGGGTGGGGACCCCCACATCCTGCAGAGCCAACCCCGTGCCAGCCCAGCACGCCCAGCTCACTTCGGAGCCTGACAGCTAAAGTCTYGAGTGGATGAATTTCAGCAGCTTGGCCAACTGCTGCTCCAGGTGCTGCTCATCTCCRTGGTTCTCGATGACCCAGTCAAAGTCCCCAAAGTCGTCCAGGCCACATTCCGACTCAGCGTCATCCACCCCTGTGGAGAGGCATGGTGAAGTCAGGCCCCAGCCCTGCAGACGTGGAGGCCAGCGGGCTCAGGCGGAGAGGGTCCTCCCCCTGCCTCTTCACTGCTGCCCCAAAGTCACGCTCTGCCCCCCTGGGGGGCATCCCCACCCGCTCCAACACTGCCCACGGCCAGCTGACTGAACTCTTCACTTGCCACTTCGCACAGAGGGTGAACYGCATCATGGAAAACCACAAACAAGCTGGGCATGGTGGCCCACGCCTGTGACCCAGCCACTTGGGAGGCTAAGCCAGGGGCATCTCAAGTTCAAAGCCAGCCTCAGCAACTTAGTGACACYCTGTCTCAGAATAAAACAATATGAAGGGCTGAGGATGTGGCTCAGTGGTAGAGCACTCCTGGATTCCATCCCCAGYCCCAGAATAAAATAAAATAAAACCACACACAACCCAAAAGGCATGACACTTTAGCGTGAATCACGGCCATGTTCATTTCCTTCTTTCTTTTTTAACAGAATGGACACAATACTTTTATTTTACTTATTTTTATGTGGTGCTGAGGATCCATCCCAGGGCCTCACACATGCCAGGCAAGTGCTCTACCACTGAGCCCCAGCCCCAGCCCCCCAGCCCCCGCTGTGTTCATTTCTACCCTCCATCTGTCTGATGCAGTCCTCCGAGGAGGCCACGTGTGCAGGGCTAGAAGCAGAGGCCTTCTCGGTGGCCCTTCCAGGCCTGGGAACAGCAGCGTCCACTTGGTGGGTTTGGGGCGCTGGTCAGTGAGCCGCTGTCTGCAAGGTGCTCAGCCCAGCCTGGCCGACAGGAGGGCCCAGGAGACCCGCAGGCAGCAGGGTGGTACCCTTGCCCTGAGCTCCTGTGGCACAGTGACCAGAGGCAGGCTGGAGGCCAGTGCTGGGCCAGCGTCCCCAAGACTGCTGAGAGCTCCCGCCTCGGGACACCCCTCACCGGGTGTGTGCACCAAGAGGAACTACGCTGGGGGCTTCCTCCCCCCCGCTGTCAGCCCCCACAGAGCTGCAAGGCAAAGGGGAGGGTCACGGGGTGGGTCTCAGCCAGACCCCCAGAGAAGCCCATCGGCCTTGAGAGGACAGCCTGGGTAAAGGGACCAAGTCAGAGTCACAGGGAGACCTTGACCCTCCAGAACACCCTCTGCMGTCCCACTCCTGAGCCCTAGGCCTCAGACCCCTCCTGGGAACCTCTCCCTCACTGTCCTCAGGCTTACCAAGGAGCCAGCAGGAGGCCCAGGACACTGGGGTCAGGGTCCGTGACCTCCACACGGTGTGTCTCACCTGTGAACCAAGCCCTGGGGACAGATGCTACTACAAGCAGCTTACCTGGCGTGAACACCCAGCCCCGCTGCTGCCGGCTCTGCTCCGAGGCGAACACGCGGACCGTCTGCATCRCAGCCCCATAGGCCTCCCGGAACCACTGGATGTCAGACACCCTCCGTGTGTCACTCACCAGCTGCAGGGCAGGGACACAGACAGGTTGCTGCAGCTGGCGGGAAGGGGGATACCAGAGAAACCAAACCACTGTGCGGCTCCACCCCGGCATCCACCCCGGCATCAGCATCGTGAGCACCAGAGCAGCTAGGACAGAGCAGCTGGCCTCAGTTCCTCCTTCCATCCGGTCACACACTGAGAGAACACTGCTGCGTGCCGACCCCCTGCAGACCGCTTGTTCACCCGAATAGAGCGCTGCACAAGGGTTTCAGGAGGCACCTACTAGGTGCTGGCACTATGCCACGTGCTGARGCTAGAGTGGTAAAATGCACCTGTCTTCAGAGCCTATAATGCAGCTGGGCACAGTGGCACATGCCTGTAACCCCAGGATCGCAAGTTCAAGACCAGCCTCAGCAACTTAGTGAGGCTCTAAACAACTTAGCAAGACCCTGTGTCAAAATAAAAAATAAACAAGGGTTGGGGATGCGACTCAATGGTTGAGCACCCCTGGGTTGTCCCCAGTACCAAAAAAAGAAAGAAAAACAAAACGAGATTGATTTATTTAAGGAACAGGGAAGGAGAGGGCAGCTGCAGCTCAGGGAGTAAAGAGGCTGAAAGGAGCAGGAGCAACGTCCAGAAGTTAAGGACTGATTTTGTTCACAAGAATGATGGGTAACCCCCAAAGGGTCTTGTTTTGGGTCCCCCCACCCCAGTGTTCTCTCAGTATTCCCAAGTAGCTGAAATGACAGGCGTGTGCGTCCAGCACCAAAGTGTTGCAGACTAGCAGTGGCGTGACTAGTGTTCCTCTGTAAAAGGCCACTGTGCGATGAAGGGATCACAGGACACAGCCAGAGCCAGAGACCGAGAGGAGTGGGGGCTGCTGTGACGCCTGGGGAAAGACGGGGGACTTGCCCAGGACCAGGGCAGGGCAGACAGGGGGCTGGGAACAGCSAGGGCTGCGGAGAGAGGTTGTCCTCCGGCTGCCAAGGTGACCTCTTACCCAGATGGGCTGGGAGACGCCTTCTACGATCTTCCTGCAGAAAAAGCCCGGGTCGGCCCGGCGCTTCTCCTCCCCCCAGCGGATCATGTCCCTCCGATAAGCCTCCTTGTAGGTGCTGGCGTCCAGAAGTCTCTGGAAGTCCAGGCTGTGCTCCTGTCCAAAGCATATTACACCTCAGGCACTGCCCTCTCCACCTCCAAGGCCCTCCTAGAACTGGAAGAGCAGGCCCTGCCGCACCACCTCCCCAGCTAGAGCAAGAATGACTCCAGCCATTAGGCCAAAGGTCTGCAAAGGAGAGAGTTCTGGAACAGGACAAACCCCGTCACTCAAAGGTGGGAGGAAGGTCCRGGGTCATCCAGAAACTGTTTCCATCTGTCTTTGAATGTTTGATGTGGTTTTCTCTTTGCAAATTTTACCTTCCCAATTATTTCTGGCTTAAACTAATCCTGAAATTAGTTGGCAACCCCTGGGCACAGGCTTAGCCTTCAACTCAAGTGGGAAATCTGACAAAAACCAACCAACTTCACTGCACGTCCCCCGCCACCGCCTGCCCCACCCCAACTCCTGGGGAAGTCGTGCCCCCAGCCTTTGGCCCTGGTCCCTTCCCCTTCCCCACATTCCTGGCACTCTGCTGAAAACCCTGGTCCCCACCCTCACCCCCGGGAGCTGCCTCCAGACCTGGCCACCCCTTCTCCAGGATCCTGACAGCCAGAGGGGCACAGCCAGAGGGTCCAGGCCGGGAAGGGGTGTGAAGAGCGTCACCCGCTCAGGTCTGGTTCCCCTTCAGCAAGGCCCCCCGCAGGCTCCCTCTCTCCTCCTGCTTTTCTGGGACGAGGGTAGGGGATGGAGACTGAGCCAGAGGCACTCACCACGGAGCCACATTCCCAGCCTTCTTCACTTCCTCGCTAAGGTGCCCAGGCTGACCTCAAACTTGTGATCCTCCTGCCTCAGGAGCCAGTGGGACTTGTGCCACTGCATCTGCAGCAGCTCTCAGCCCCTTGGTCCCCACCTGATGCCCTGTTCCAAGGAGAGGGCAGCAGCTACCTCCTGCTTATCAGCCACCCCCGCCCCTCCACTGGGAGCATGTGGCCTGCTTGTTGGTCACGTTTCCACCTGTGACTGGGGTCATCAATTCAGCAACGTTTTTTTCTTTCTTTTTTTTTCTTTTTTTTGGGGGGTAGAGGATTGAACTCAGAGGCACCTAACCACTGAGCCTCATCCCCAGCCCTTTTTTGTATTTTATTTTGAGGCAGGGTCTCACTSAGTTGCCTAGGGCCTCACTAAGTTACTGAGGCTGGCTTTGAACACACGATCTTCCTGCCTCAGCCTCCTGAGCCCCCTGGACCACAAGCGTGAGCCACCGCACCCAACTCAATTCAGTAACAGGGCAGGAGGGTCTGTCAGGGCCTCCTCTGGAAGTCTTAAAAATGCAAACTCAAACTCCTGCCCTTTCCTCCCTGATCCATCTGGGCTCTGGCTCGGCAGATCTGGAGCAGGCCCTGATCTGGGATTTTTCCAGTACATTAGTGGTTTTGAAACTGTTCCTCAGGTCCCACGGGAGAAAGCTGAGTAGTACCTCCCCTTGGCCCTCCTGCCTCCTTCTCCCACTACCTGTTAACCCCACTCTGTCTCCCAGGAGCAAGGGACTTCTGCATCCAACTTCATCGGGAAAGATTCTCCACAGGAAAAAATTGCAATCCCACGGTCCCTCAGACCGCTATGGATGGGCCCGCACAGGAGTCGAGAGAAGACCCACCCGGAGGCAGCGCTACTGCACAGAAGCGGGGATTCATTCCTTTTGTGTGGCCCCAGAGGCCACACTGGGCAACTGCCCTGAGCCCAAGTCCCTGGGAGTGTGCACCTGGATGCAACAGAATGTGGGCCACTAGGGGGCTCTTCTCTGTGAAAAGCTGATCTCACCCTCTGGGTTCCCTTCCTGAAGTCAAGATTCTGGGAGTTCCTGTTTATTTTCTAAATTCCATTTTAACAACAACAACAACAAAAAATTTTTTTAGGGGCTGGGGATGTAGCTCAAGCGGTAGCGCGCTTGCCTAGCATGCGTGCGGCCCGGGTTCGATCCTCAGCACCACATACCAGCAAAGATGTTGTGTCCCCCGAGAACTAAAAAATAAATATTAAAAAAAATTCTCTCTCTCTCTCTCTCTCTCTCTCTCTCTCTCTCTCTCTCTCTCTCTCCCTCTCCTCTCTCACTCTCTCTTAAAAAAAAATTTTTTTTTAAACCTATATGGTTCAAAATTCAAAAGACGCAAATTCATTTGCAATGAAAGAATCTCTGTCCCACCTCTGTCTTCCCCCTGCAGGGCATCGGGACAGTCTCCCATGTGTCTTTCCCAGGAAGTGCACAGACATCCCAGCACCTGAGCAGTGCTTAACAAAATGCAAGGCACCTCCCACGTACTTGTTGAGGAACTGGATATGTGAGCAAAATATATTTTTAATTCTTCTATAATTCTCGGTCAAAAGTCCTTTCCAAATGTTGCATTCTCTACTGTTACGGTATGGAGACATTCTCAGTGAGAAAATCATGATCCCAACTGGTGATGCTGGAACCTCTAAGAGGAATTAAAGCTTCTCTCTTGGGACTGGATTGGTTACGGTGAGAATGGGTTGTTGTAAAGTAATCATGGTACCTTCCGCAATCTCTCTTGCCATATGACCTCTTTTGCTCACTGTTCTTCCACCATGAGGTTCTTACCAGCAGCCAGGTGAATGTTGGCACCATGTTCTTGTACCTCCATAACTCTTTTCTGCACAAACTACCCAACCCCAGGTATTTTGTTATAGCAACACAAAACAGCATTTAGATGTACCACACTATTCTACAACTTGTGCTCTTCATTTAACAATCTATTTTGACAACTCATGTCACTAAATATCTAAGGAGAAAATTCTAGGGCATTCCATCAGGCCAGCAGGGAAGGGGGGAGATGTAAGCTGTCATTTTTTTGTGCAGACATGTGCATATCAAATGGCATCAGAGCTGTCAACTCGAATATCTATAGCCTTCCCTGGACACCCTTTTGAACGTGCTCTGCAGAGGTGATCTGGAGTAAGTGAGGCTATTAAGAAAGACGCTTAAGGGATGGGGGCTGTGGCTCAGCGGTAGAGTGCTCGCCTTGCACATGCGAGACCCTGGGTTCGATCCTCAGCACCACATAAAAATAAATAAATAAAGATATTGTGTCTAACTGAAAAAAAAATATTAAAAAAAAAGAAAGGCGCTTAAGCTGAAAATGCCCCTGAAATACCCCTCACAGAAAACCAAGAGATGGCTACCATTCTGCCAGCAGCAGTCACATCTCCAAAGCCTGGGAGATGGTTCCCAGATGCCACAGAGCCACCACCTACCTGAGCATACTGCTCCTTGAGTGGGCCAGAGAGCCGGAGAATAGCACAGATGTCAGCTCCAAGTCTGTGGGACAGGGAGATAGAGGACCCAGTCAACCCAGGGCTTCCTGGAGCCTCCAGGCTCCGGAAGAGAAGTCCAGAGGCCTAAGTCGAGCCCTCATTTCTCCCACTGCTATTTGTGTCACTGTGGCAGCTCTCAACGCCCCTGACCCCTTTTCCTTATCTATAAACAGGGATAAGAGTTTCTTTCTCCCAAACAGGATCATTATGAAATTCAAATGAATATAAAGGAGCCCTGACGCTAAGGGATAAAACGTAGGATGATAAGTACACGGAGAACCTCCAAGCCAGGCACGGAGGCCCACACCTGTGATCCCAGGGGCTCAGGAGGATCACACGTTCAAAGCCAGCCTCAGCAATTTAGCAAACGCTAAGCAACTCAGCGAGACCCTGTCTCTAAATAAAATATATAAAAGGGCTGAGGGCTGGGGCTATAGCTCAGTGGCGGAGCGTTTGCCTAGCACGCACGAGGCACTGGGTTCGATCCTCAGCGCCACATACAAATGACCAAATAAAATAAAGGCATTCTGGGGGACTGGGATTGTGGCTCAGCAGTAGAGTGCTCACCTGGCATGTGCAGGGCGCTGGGTTTGATCCTCAGCACCACATTAAATAAATAAATAAATAAATAAATAAATAAATAAAGGTATTGTGGCCAATAATTTTAAAAATATATTTAATAAATAAATACATAAAATAAAGGTATTCTGTCCATCTACCAAAAAAAATATTTTTAAGCGGGGGGAGCGGGAAGGGCTGAGACTGGGACTTGGTGGTTAATTGCCCCTGGGTTCAAACCCTGGTGCAAAAAAAAAAAAAGAAAGAAAGAAAACCCACCAGGCCTCCAGGCCTAATGATATTCTGCCTCAATTAAGTTACTGCTAGTACCCTAAACCCAGTCACCACCAGGGATATCTCAGCCTCAACTAACTTGGTCACCACAACATAAAAAACTCATCCCTTCAGTTGTTCCATGATCTTAGTCAGTCATTTATTGGGCACCATATTTGATTCCAGGTAACAGAAATATGAATGAGATACACAACTTCTGCCCTGGCCTTGGGCTGCTCACACCTACACTTAAACACCAACATGGTGAGACGAGTGTTCTTATGTTCAGATGAGGAAACTGAGGCTAAGTGAGGGGAACTGACTCACCTGAAGCAACCCTGTAACTAATGAAACCAGTATGAGTAAAATAAAAATAGCCAACGTTTCATTCCCGAGCCTTCTCTAGATGCCAAGAATTATTCTCTAAGCCATTTACATGCATTACCTCATTTAATTCTTCCACCCTCCTCTCTTTGTCTGCATTGAACAAATGTCAAAACTGAGGCAGAGTCAATATGAAATGTGTACCAGATGGGCCACTAAGGCTGAGCTACGATGTGAATCCCAGAAGTCTAATCTCAGAACCTCTGTTTCTTAATGCTATTTAACTTCCAGAGCTGAGATGCAATTTAGGAAATGATGGTAGATACTTGGTGGTGAATTTGTGTATGGATCTCTGCCCTGGAATCCCCCACAACCTCTCAGAACCCCCAGGGTACCCAAAACAGTTTCCTGACACCACACCCTACTAGCCCTCAAGGGGRGAGGAGCACCTGGAGTGTGGTGCACCTATAATCTCAGCAACTTGGGAGGCTGAGGCAGAAGGATTACAAAGTCAAGACCAGCCTGGGCAACTCAGTGAGAATCTGTCTCAAAATAAAAAACAAAAAGGACTGGGGGTGTAGCTCAGCGGTAGAGCACCCCTGGGTTCAATCCCCAGTATGGGGAAAAAGCAGAGAGGAGCCCCACTCCACTTTCTCCCCTTCTCTGCCCTCCTAGCCCAGTCCCCAGCAAAAATGCCAGACAGAATATCTTGCTCCAAGAAAAAACAATGAGCGAAGGCTAAAGGCATTATTATTATTTGGGGGAAGTGGTGAGCTAAAACTGAAATAAACTGAATTTGAATCCTGGATTCGCCACTTAATTTGCAACCCCATCAAATTTTGTTTTTAACTTTTCAGAGCCTCCCTTGCTTCATCTGTGAAGTGGAGAGGCAAATAACACTACACGGTACCTACCAAAGGTTATGATGATTAAATAAATTAATACAGGTACAGTGCCTGGCATACAATAAAGACTTATTAAATCCCTACTATTAGGGGTCCTTGTCCTCAATGAACAAAGATTGCCTTTGGAACCAGACACATACTGGGTATGTTTTTAAAGAAATCCCTTATCTGTGCGTCAATTTCTTTATTTGTAAATTACCTCACAGCACTGTCATGAGAATAGGAAAAGTATACAGAAGGTGCCTTGGTAGTCACTGTTTCATTGGTGACTCTTGGAGAGACAGTCCTACAGCTAAGGGCTTTGCGGAAGTGGTCGCCTGTCTTTGGAGTGGGCGTGTGCAGACGGCTGTCTTAAGTGATGGTGGCAATCCTGCATCTTCTCCTGCTCCTCCTGCCCGGCCACCAGAGAAGCTGGGGTCCGAAGCCCACTCCAGCAGACCCACACGCTCCCCTGGGTCGCCGGACGCAGTGAGCTCCCTCTCCTCCTCCTCCCCTCCCCACAGACACCTGCTCTGCAGCGCCTCGGTCACGAAGTCCTTCCCGGATTTTCTCTTCCCGCTAAACAGCAGCACCAGTCGGGGGGCGCCTCCCTGCGGGGCCATGAGGCCACTCGGCTTTCCTATCCCTAACGCGGACCCATCGTACCCCTGAAATCGGGCCACTCCGCGCGAAATGGACGTGGCCACTGGGAGAGGCAAGGAGGAGGGATCCCCTCCCTCTTCATAGCTGTAAAGAGGACTGAGGTCCCTCCATCTTCCATATGTTTTAATTCATGACTAAACAAGTACGGAGAGAAGAAAAAAAGGAGAAAATGTACATACACAAAAGAGGCTTATTTCCAGGGCAGCCTTCTCCCCTAAAGAAGCTCCCCCTCTAGAGCGCACTTGAGCCAGTCCAGCCCCGCCYAGAACCTCACGTCACGGCCGCGCCTCCGAAACCGCCGGGCGGGGAGGAGTCGGACGCAACTACTTTTCTCAGAGGGGGGACAACATCTTAAAATTTCCAGAGGTGGACCTCATCTTCCCCCCAGATAGCCTAAAACATGATGAAAAAAAATATTATACCTAATAATGTGGAAGGATTTTTCTAGAATGCTTTTTTACTTGTGTTTTATGACCCATGTGACTAAACAAACTTGTATTTGCCCCACAGTGGAAATGGGTCTTTCTGGATATGTAAAACACGGTAATGACCTGATAGGGCTGTGTCTCGTGACGTCATCCCGAGGGTGGCGCTTAGCCTCGTCCACGCTCGCTTATTGTGAAACCGGTTTTGTAAGTGTGGAGGCCGATCGGATTTGACCCTTTTGACCCAACAAGAAATCTATCCTTTTTCTAGCYGCATCCTCCTCTCCAAAGGTTTTGGGAAGCTGGAAAGCTTGGAATGACGTGGCTTTGGATGAGATTAACCGGTTTTATCCGGAGACCATCTCCGGACCAGGAGTTGAGAATTAGTGGTAGTTATCTGTCCCTTCCTCCAGTGTCCAGTTCTGCCTCAGCCCGCTCCAGGACACCTCCTCCCAGTTAAGTAGGCACAGTTGTCTTTAGTCCTGAGTCTCTTTCTTGCATTTTTTCCGAGCTTGTCAAAACAGAGCCTGCAAACAGTTACTGCCTCCATATGATGGGTTATCAAATCATGTGAGAAGAGACTAAGTGAAGTGAGGAGACGTCCTTGAGATAAACCCTGAATATTGAAAAAGAGGCACAAAAGAATGATAAGATACAAAGAAAATAGATTTCAGGAGGATTTTTTAAAGCAACTCAAAATTTTAACTGTGCTCATCAAGGCACGTCAGACAGGGCAGAGTGGAAAGAGTTTTAATCCTAGTTTTGACACTTCATGGGAATGTGACCTTCAGCCCGTCATAACTTTTACCATCGACGATGCCCACCTCACAGGGTTGCAATAAGAGGGAAATAAAGAAAATATATGCTAAAATGCAATAAAACACCTCATAAATTCTAAAGTATCATCCAGTTGTAAGGGATTGTTATTTGCTCTTAGCCCTCTGTGTTTTTATTGTGGTTTATAATTCAACCCAGGATCGGATTTTCCAGTTCACCTTCTGTAAACATTTACATGGGCCTCCACTGAAAGCCCAGATCTCAGCTAGACCAGCAGAAGCTACAAGGAATAACTCCCTTCTCACTTTCCTGCTTTCTAATTACTAGAAAAATGTCAGAATTTCCCCCAAGTGTCTCTTCCCTCACCTGACCCAATCTGCCCCTACTTCCCTCGAATGCTCTGAAATCAGACTCCCTGAAATTTCCAGTCCCTCATCAGAAAACTTCCTGCATCCTACCCTCTCCTCCAGCTTCTCTGTCCCTGCTGGCTGCCCTCTCCCCCAGCCCTCAGTCTCAGCAAGGCCTCCCCCCACCCCCACCCCCACCCCGCCTTCAGGTTCCAGTCCTTCACCTGCCTCTGGGAAAACTCCAGCTCCTCTAAGGCTCTTGCCACCTGGCTGGGCTACCCTTACCCTCCTCAGGATTAACTGCCACCCATCGTGGTGGCTCCTTCGTGTTCCCTGAGACTTAATCAATGGCTTCTGGGTTTGGGGTTTTTTTTGTATTCGTTTTTGTTTTTATTTGTACCAGGGTTTGAACCCAAGGGCACTTAACCACTGAGCCACACCCCAGCCCTTTTCTATATTTTATTTAGAGACAGGGTCTCACTGAGTTGCTTAGGGCCTCGCTGAATTGCTGAGGCTGGCCTCCAACTTGCCATCCTCCTGCCTCAGCCTCAGCCTCCTGAGCCGCTGGGATGACACTCATGCCCCACACACCCTGTGGCCCTGTCTCCTTCCCCCCGTTCCTGTCATCATTCCCAGGGACTTCAGGCTCGCTGACTACCCCTTCTGCCCAGTCCATCAACAAGGAACTGCTGCTCAATTCCTTGGCCCCGGATGGTCAAAGGTTTTTTTTCCATTTTTCCTCCAACACCTGCCCCTATGGACACACCCCCAGCCTTGTCACCACCAGAAAGCCTCAATCTGCCAGTGCACACACTTATCCACCCAGCTCTTCAAGAATAGTCACTCAGCCAGGGCAGTGGCACATGCTTATAATCCTAGGTACTTGGGAGTTTGAGGCAGAAGGATCACAACTTGGAGACCAGCCTGGGAAACTTAGCAAGACTCTATCTCAAAATAAAAAATAATAAGAGACCCAGAATAGCCAAAGCAACCCTTAGCAAGAAGAATGAAGCAGGAGACATCACAATACCTGACCTTAAACTATACTACAGAGCAATAGTAACAAATCAGCATGGTATTGGCACCAAAATAGACTTGTAACCCAATGGTACATAATAGAGGACACAGAGACCAACCCACATAAATACAGTTATCTCATACTAGACAAAGGCACCAAAAACATATATTGGAGAAAAGATAGCCTCTTCAACAAATGGTGCTGGGAAAACTGGAAATCCATATGCAACAAAATAAAATTAAATCCCTATCTCTCACGATGCACAAAACAACTCAAAGTGGATCAAGGAGCACTAGGAATTAGACCAGAGACCCTGCAACTAATAGAAGAAAAAATAGGCCCAAATCTTCATCATGTCGGATTAGGCCCCAACTTCCTTAACAAGACTCCTAAATCTAATCTCTAGAATATATAAGAACTCAAAAAACTTAACACACACACACACACACACACACACACAAAATAGATAACCCAATCAATAAATGGGCCAAGGAACTGAATAGACATTTCTCAGAAAATGATATACAATCAACAGCCAAATATATGAAAAAATGTTCAACGTCTCTAGCAGAGAAATGCAAATCAAAACTCAGCTCTAAGATTTTATCTGACTCCAGTCAGAAAGGCAGCTATTAAGAATACAAACAATAAGCATTGGCAAGGATGTAGGGAAAAGGCACACTCATACACTGCTGGTGGGACTGCAAATTGATGCAACCAATATGGAAAGCCATGTGGAGATTCCCTGGAAAACTGGGAATGGGGCTGGGGATGTGGCTCAAGCGGTAACTCGGACACCTGGCATGTGCGGGGCACTGGGTTCGATCCTCAGCACCACATTAAAAATAAATAAAGATGTTGTGTCCACCAAAAACTGAAAAATATTTTAAAATTCTCTTTCTCTCTCTCTTAAAAAAAAAAAAAAAAAACTAGGAATGGAACCACCATTTGACCCAGCTTTCCCACTTCTTGGTTTATACCCAAAGGACTTAAAAAACAGCATAGAACAGGGACACAGCCACATCAATGTTTATAGCCGGACAATTCCCAATAGCTAAACTGTGGAAGCAAGCTAGATGCCCTTCAGTAGATGAATGGATAAAGAAACTGTGGTGTATATACACAATGGAACCTTACTCAGCATTAAAAGAGAATAAATCATGGCATTTGCAGGTAAATGGATGGAGTTGGAGAAGATAATGCTAAGTGAAGTTAGCCAATCCCAAAAAACCAAAGGCACAATGTTTTCTCTGATGTGTGAATGCTGATCCATTATGGGTGTGAGGGGGAGCATGGGAGGAATGGAGTAACTTTATACAGAGCAAAGGGGAGGGGGGAAGGGAGGGGGCATGTGGGTAGGAAAGACRGTGGAATGAGATGGACATCATGACCCTAAGTACATGTATGAAGACACGAATGGTGTGACTCTACTTTGTGACAACCAGAGATATGTAAAGTTGTGCTCTACAGGTGTACTATGAATTGAAGTGCATTCTGCAATCACGTATGACAAATTAGAATAAATAAATGAATTTTTTTAAATGGCTGGGGATGTAGCTCGGTGGTGGAGTGCCCCCACTGGCTCAAATACTCCCCAAGCCAGAACTTGCCTCCCAAGCCCCCCCCCCCCAGCCCAGGAAATTCTCTGCTGTATAACATCTGCCTTTCCTTCCTTCCACAACCCAGGAGAATGTGGAGGTAGCACGTGCAAAGCCTTGGTGAGCTCAAGGGTTGCGCCTAGGGGCACTGCTCAGTGGCAGGTGCTGGTGAGTGGGGGCAGCCCCTGGGTGGAGCCTGCTGGGGAAGGGGGCGGCCAGAGTCCTCGAGCACTCAGATGGGAAGCCCGGTATGTCTGCCACCACTGCCCCATGGAGTTGAGGAGGAGGAGGCCTAGAGAGCAACAGAGAGGTGTCTCCCCAGCTCAGGAACCTCTTCCCCAAAGCCGACCACTTAAGGAGAGGTTTGAAACCAGGGGGGTGAGGTGGTGCGAGTCTGGAATCCCCGTCGCTCAAGAGTCTGGGGCAGGAGGACCCAGTTCCAGGTCAGCCTGGGAAACTCAGTGAGACCCTATCTCAAGAAAAAAAAATAAATAAAAAGGGATGGGATGTGGCTCAGTGGTAGACCACCCCTGGGGTCAATTCCCAGTGCCAAAGAGAAGAGAGAGATCTGCTTCACAGGCCAACAGGACAGCCTGGACATCAACCGCAGGCCTGCCTTCTGTAGTCACCCACCTAAAAACAGTGTGAGCCCGGGGGACCCGCCCACCCAGCACTGCAGAGCCTGGAAGAGGGTCGCGCCCACACAGGCAAGCCTGTCCGTCGTAGGACGAGATGCCGTCTATCTGTGGCTCAGGGACATCCACTGTCCCTGCTGAACGTCTTGCTTCTGATTCTAGTTTCTCCTCCCACGGCTGTTCCCAACTGACCCAGCCAATCAATCCTCCACCCTGGCCAGTTCTTTTTTTTTCTTTTTCTTTTTTAGTTGTAGGTGGACACAATACCTTTAATTTGTTTTATTTATTTATTTTTATGTGATGCTGAGGATCAAACCCAGGGCCTTGCACTTGCTAGGTGAGCGTCCTACCACTGAGCCACACTATGGACCAGCCCTTATGTGTGACATGACCATCATTCCAGGGGAAATGAGGGAGGTGAGGGATGGAACGGGGCAAGGTTGTAAGGCAGCGGTATGAGAGGATGGCAGGAAAAACGAGGGGCTACCTTTGGGCCCTGATGGAGGGAAGCCCACTCATTCATAGACTAGAATACACTCATTACTACCCGACATGCAACAGCGAACAAACAGAACCCGCCTCCAGGAGCACTGGTCTTTGCAGGACAGACTAGCACAAGGTGGCTTCCAAACAGCATGATGGCCTGGGGCTGGGCTCAGTGGCAGAGCACCTGCCTGGCATGTGTGAGGCCCTGGGTTCAATCCTCAGCACCAATATAAATAAATGAATAAAAATAAAGGCCCACCAGCAACTGAATGTAAATATCTATATATGGAGTATGAGCCAGACTCAGTGGCACTCACCTGTAGCCCCAACAATCAGGGCGGCTGAAGCAGGACGTGGCTCAGTGGGACAGTGCCCCTGGGTTCCATCCCCAGTATCAAATAAATAACTAATACTATCAGGATGCTCTGCTGCAGTCTCTCAGTGGTTCCATAGTACCCTCATGCTTTTCCCTTTGCCCAAACTCAAAATTGTATTTTTTTTTTTTTTGGTACCAGAGATTGGACCCAGGGGTACTTAACCCCTGAGTCACATCCTCAGCCCTTTTTATTTATTTATTTTTTTTTTTTGAGACGGGGCCTCACTAAGTTGYTGAGGCTGGCTTTGAACTTTCCTTCGTCCTCCGATTCCCAAAATGCTGGGACTGCAGACCCGCCGCACTGGGACCAGWTGTATCTTAACATCCATCTCCCTTGTCTTGCCTCCTCCACAGCCCTCCCCGAGTCCCCCCAGCCCATCTACCCATCCATCTGTGTGTGTGTGTGGTACCAGGGATTGAGCTAAGGGGCACTTGTCAACCACTGAGCCACATCCTCAGCCCTATTTTGTATTTTATTTAGAAACAGGGTCTCATGATTGCTCAGTGCCTCACTTTTGCTGAGGCTGGCTTGGAACTGGCAATCCTCCTGCCTCAGCCTCCTGAGCTGCTGGGATTACATGTGTGCACCACTGTGCCCGGCTTTATTTTTTGAGACAGGCAGGCTCTC